ACGTACACACGTCGACACGCTTGTGCCCGCCCCTGCTTGCAGGGCGCGATGTCGGACGAGAAGAAGCTGCTGCAGTGCCCCCTGTGCAAGTGGGTGCTCATCAGCCACGCGGCGCTTCAGGACCACATGAAGCAGCACGGACGGCGGACCGAGGAGTACTACCAGTGTGGGTGGTGCTCCTACAGCATCTACTGCCGGCGCACGCTCAGCAACCACGAGAGGATGCACACGGGCGAGAAGCCATACAAGTGCGCTACGTGCGGCAAGGTTTTCACGCACTCCGGCTCCCTCAGAATGCACGAGAAGTCGCACACCTCCGAGAGTAGCTACGAGGGCCCCGTGCGCGCCAAGGTCTTCGCCAGCCCGGAGAGCGTTCGGAGCGAGAAGCCGTTCGAGTGCGACGCGTGCGACAAGGCGTTCGCGCGCGCCAAGGACCTGTGCAGCCACCAAAGGGTTCACCTTTGTAAGAAGAAAGGCTACAAGTGCAAGCGATGCGAGAGGTCGTACACAATGTTGAGCAACCTCCGTACGCACGAGAAGACGCACGCCGACGACGCGCCGCACGCTTGCGGCGAGGAGTTCACGGAGCTGGACAGACTACGTCGGCACGAAAGGTCTCACAAGGACAAGGAGCAGAAGCCACTGCTGTGTGCAGAGTACGGCGAGGCGTTCATGGAACTGGACAGCCTGCGTCGGCACGAGAGGACTCACAAGGACACGGAGCAGAAGCCACTGCTGTGTTCAGAGTGTGGCGAGGCATTCAAGGAGCTGGACAGCCTGCGTCAGCACGAGCGGTCTCACAAGGAGCAGAAGCCACTGCTGTGTTCAGAGTGCGGCGAGGAGTTCACGGAGCTGGACAGACTGCGTCGGCACGAGAGGTCTCACAAGGAGCAGAAGCCACTGCTGTGTTCACAGTGTGGTGAGGCATTCACGGAACTGGACAGCCTGCGTCGGCACGAGAGGTCTCACAAGGAGCAGAAGCCACTGCTGTGTTCACAGTGTGGTGAGGCATTCACGGAACTGGACAGCCTGCTTCAGCACGAGAGAACTCACAAGGACAAGAAGCCACTGCTGTGTTCAGAGTGCGGCGAGGCGTTCACGGAGCTGGATAGCCTCCATCGGCACGAGATGGCTCACAAGGAGCAGAAGCCACTGCTGTGTTCAGAGTGCGGCGAGGCGTTCACGGAGCTGGACAACCTGCGTCAACACGAGCGATCTCACAAGGATCAGAAGGCAACGTCATCAAACATTAGGCAGCAGCAGGAGGACAGTGACACGGGTACAAATCCGCGTGGTCTGGAAATTCGCTAGATGTCCTTGCACTTTATGTGAGACAAGGAGTGGGGGATTATGGTCAAATAAAATATCTCTGGAATCACCAGAGGACACTCGTGGCAGAATTAACCGAGTAGCGTTTTTCCAAACACGGATCTGTCATCTGCAGACGCGATGTGTGTAGGCAGAAAACACATTCGGAATCGGACTGGGCCTTGGCGATGGACACTGGCTATTCGGACGTGGAATGTCAACGTCACTGGGGAGGAATGAGCCAGAGCTGGTGGAGGAGGTGGAAAGGTACTGACTAGATATTGTCGGCCTCACTTCCACATACAGCATTGGTACTGGAACCAAACTTGTCGACCGGAGGTGGTCTCCTATTCCGGAGTAACCCCTGGCGAGAGGCCCCGGGGTGGGTGTGGGTGTATTCACAATCTCCCAGCTGGGTCTCAGATAGGAAAACTGACTGTTGTCTGTGCTTGTGCACCAAATATTAGTTCAGAGTATTCGGCCTTTTTGAAGATGGTGGGTGCAGTGCTTGACAGCGTTTCGCCGACCGACTCCATAGTCTCACTGGGCCACTTCAATACCCACGTGGGAAACGATGAAGATACCTAGAGAGGCGTGATTGGGTGGAATGCCCCCCCCCCCCCCCTGATCTGAACCCATACGGTGCGATGTTATTGGGATTCTGCGCTAGTCACTGAATGTCAATAACAAACACCACGAGTATGAGAATAGGTTTTCTCCTTTTTTTCTGGCAACAAACAACAGGTAAAGTCACGTAGAAGGGAAGTAATAAAATAAAAATAAAATATAATAAAATAATTCTCACGACGTTTCGGCCACAACGCAAGCAGCCGTCCTCAGGTGGAGAGCAGGTCTGTCAGACGCTGTCTTCCCGATAGACCTGCTCTCCACCTGAGGACGGCTGCTTGCGTTGTGGCCGAAACATTGTGAGAATTATTTTATTATGTTTTATTATTTCCATTCTACGTGACTTTACCGAAAGAACCAAGGAGGTGAGTCTCCACGTGTTCGCCTTCATTGTCACCACGTGACTGGAATCTTCTCCAGATGGTCTCCAGAACCCAGAGGCATCACTCCTTATGGTATTTGTTGCAAATTCTCGGAAGTGTTAACGTGTTTTTGAAGCAACCTGTATATTTTTCGATTTAAAGCTTCTTTCGTGACTGCAGCAGGGATTCATCGTCTTGGTTCTTTCGGTAAAGTCACGTAGAAGGGAAGTAATAAAATAATAAATAAACAATTAAATGCAATTCTCACGACGTTTTGGCCACAACGCAAGCAGCCGTCCTCAGGTGAAGAACAGGGGCTGTCGGAAAGACAGCGTCTGAATGAACACCACCAAGCTTAAATTTCGATTTAAAGCTTTCGTGACTGCAGGGATTCATCTTCTTGGTTCTTTCGGTAAAGTCATGTAGAAGGGAAGTAATAAAATAATAAAAATAAAACACAACAAAATAATTCTCACGACGTTTCGGCTACAACGCAAGCAGCCGTCTTCAGGTTGCTTGCGTTGTAGCCGAAACGTCGTGAGAATTATTTGTATGTGTTTTATTTTTATTATTTTATTACTTTCCCTTCTACGTGACTTTACCGAAAGAACCAAGAACACCACCAAGCTTGGCAGCGTATATTTAAGCTGGGTTAGAGGAAGAGGGAGCCTTGACAAAAGAATTTGCATATCAACAGAGGGATTTAGCATATTTATGGGAAATGTGACTAATCCCATATCTGCATAGCCCACTGTGGGTGGGATCCTCTTTTAATGACTCATTGTACAAGATTCGTGCGTAAACATTGTGTAGATATTTTTGATTTAAAGCTTTCGTGACTGCTGCAGGGATTCATATTCTTGGTTCTTTCGGTAAAGTCATCACGTAGAAGGGAAATAATAAAATAATAAAAATATAAAACAATAAAATTCTCACAGCGAGAAAATTTTCTTGCCGTGTTCATTTCACACCTGATGACGATTTGCTTGTGTTGCGGTCGAAACGTCGTGATAATTTAATTGTTTTATATTTTTTAATTTTATTATTTCCCTTCTACGTGATGACTTTACCGAAATAACCGAGAATATTTTGTAGATATTTAACACAAAACCCAACGCAGTCGACATAAAGGCAAAGATCGCCCTGTGTAGCCTTCAAATACTGTTGGGGACAAGTGCCGTTAAGCGAGCGGCAAACGGAGGTGGGTGGTCAGCACCACACCCGGCCGCCTTTGTCTTCCCAATGTTGGTGACCTTTAACCCCACATCACCGCTACACCAGATACTCATTTGAGGCTGAGTCGACCTAGGGGAGGGCCAGGACCGGTTCAAGTGTTGCTTTAGGATGCACCGAGCTGAAACCCGGCACGCCCGGCCGTCTTTGTCTTCCCAGTGTTGGCGACCTTTAACCCCGCACCACCTCTACACCAGATACTCATTTGAGGCTGAGTCGACCTAGGGGAGACCCAGGGTCGACTATGTGCCCCCTTGCCAAGATGGCGCTCGTGTTTTGCACAGCTAAATGACGTCATGTCGCCCTTGTTTCGAGTCATCTACATGACGTCACTTTAGAAAACGATTCAGGGCCGTTTTAAAAATAAACACACATCATTCGGTGAGATTAAAAGATAATAGTAGATAATAGGCGACGTTTCGGGCAATGGGCCTTCTTCGCATAAAAAAATAGGCGACGTTTCGGTCAAATTTTTGAGAGGCAACTTATGACGTAATAGCTGTACAAGGTAGCCGCGTCGATGACGACATTTGTGTATCGCGCCTCTGACGTCACGCGGGGACGGCAGTGGAGCTGGCGGCGTCGCGTCTTGGGAAACAGTGAGAGACGCGGAGACACAGAGACACACACACACAGACACACACACACACACAGACACACACACACACACAGACACACACACACAGACACACACACACAGACACACACACAGACACACACACAGACACACACAGACACAGACACACACACACAGACACACACACAGACACACACACACAGACACACACACACAGACACACACAGACACACACACACAGACACACACACAGACACACACACAGACACACAGACACACACACAGACACACACACAGACACACACACAGACACACACACAGACACACACAGACACACACACAGACACACACAGACACACACAGACACACACAGACACACAGACACACACACAGACACACACACAGACACACACACAGACACACAGACACAGACACACACACACAGACACACACACACAGACACACACAGACACACACACAGACACATACACACAGACACATACACACAGACACATACACACAGACACACACACTGACACACAGACACACACACAGACACACACAGACACACACACAGACACACACACAGACACACACACACAGACACACACACAGACACACACAGACACACACACAGACACACGCAGACACACACTGACACACAGACACAGACACACACGCAGACGCACACACACAGACACAACAACAACAACCGCCATTCGCCACTAAGTGGCGGTGACGTCACCACGATGCTTGTGCCAGGCCAAGTGCACCTTGAGGCCACGTGAAGTGTCGAAAGCCCGCTGGCAGGAGGTCACGGGGCAGACCCAGCAGGTGCCACTGGTCGACTGACCGAGATGACCGAGATGACTGGCTGATGCACCACCTGTGCCCCCTACTGTGCCAACTTGCTGTGCTTTAGCCACCCGGCGCTCCGCTCGTTGTTGTGAGCGTCGCTCCTCCGCCCTCCGTTGTTGCTGGAGGGCGACTGCCTCCAACTGCCCAGTAGCGTCCTTCACGAGCCTCCTCCACTGAGGCCGATCTTGACACCGCTGGTACCAGTCATCGGCAAGTCCACTCAGCTCCACGTCCTCCTGTACCACATCACTCCATCTCTTCTCCAGCCCGTGCCGCGCCCGTCTAGCCCCCTCGATCCGGCCGAACAAAAGCTGTTTGGGCATGCGGTGGCTGGGCATGCGGGCTACATGACCCAGCCAACGCAGCCTTGCCTGCCGGAGGAGCTCACTGATGGGACTTTGCCCAGATCTTTCAAGGATTTGTGAGCTCCTCACACAATCCAGCCTGCTGGTTAAACCCAGGATGGATCGTAGGCAGGCCAGCCTAAATGTTTCCAACCGGCGAAGATGCTCCACCAGGGGGGTCCACGTCTCGCAAGCGTAGAGAAGGGAGGGAATGACCGTGGCCGAGAAGACCTGAAGCTTCGTGCGGAGCGACAGACCAGGTAGCTTCCACACAGCGTTACGCAACCGATGAAAAGATATTGCCGCTCGACTGATTCGGAGTGAGACCTCTGCTGATAGACTGGAGCCGGTCATGAGCACACTGCCCAGGTATGGGAAACTCTCCACTCTCTCCACAACTGCCCCATCACCAATTGGGAGTTGTGGGGGTGGAGTGTCCGATGGTACAAAATACCCAGGCACACACAGACAGACACACACACAGACACACACAGACACACACACAGACACACACTGACACACAGACACACACAGACACACACTGACACACACAGACAGACACACTGACACACACAGACAGACACAGACACACACGCAGACGCACACACACAGACACACACACAGACACACACACAGACAGACACACAGAGACACACACACACAGACACACAGAGACACACACACCACACAGAGACACACAGACAGACACACACACAGACACACACACAGACAGACACACAGAGACACACAGACAGAGACACAGAGACACACACACACAGACACACACACATACAGATACACACACAGACACACACAGACACACATACAGACACACAGAGACACACACAGACATACACAGACACACACTGACACACAGAGACACACACACAGACACACACACATACACACAGAGACACACACAGACACACACTGACGCAGACACAGACAGACACACACACAGACACACACCACACAGACACACACACAAACACACACAGACACACAGACAGACACACACACAGACACACACACAGAGACAGACACACAGAGACAGAAACACACACCACACAGACACACACAGACACACACCACAAACACACAGACACACACCACAAACACACAGACACACACAGACAGACACACACACAGACACGCACACAGACACACAGACAGACACACACACAGACACACACACAGAGACACACACAGACACACACACAGAGACACACACAGAGACACACACACACAGACACACACAGACACACACACAGATGATGATTAGAGAGGGACGCAGACTCCAAATATACAGCAGCAGCAGGCATCGTCAGGGGCAGGATCGAACCCACGACCTCCTGCACACCAGGCAAGGTAGTCAACATCTCCTAGCCACCGTGATGATGATGAGAGAGAGACGCAGACTCCAATTATACAGCAGCAGCAGGCATCGTCAGGGGTCGGGATCAAACCCACAACCTCCTGCGTACCAGGCGAGGTAGTCAACATTTCCTAGCCACCGTGATGATGATGATGAGAGAGAGACACAGACTCCAAATATACAGCAGCAGCAGGCATCGTCAGGGTCGGGATCAAACCCACGACCTCCTGCGTACCAGGCGAGGTAGTCAACATCTCCTAGCCACCGTGATAATGATGAGAGAGAGACGCAGACTCCAAATATACAGCAGCAGCAGCAGGCATCGTCAGGGGTCGGGATCAAACCCACGACCTCCTGCACACCAGGCGAGCGAGTCAACATCTCCTAGCCACCGTGGCAGTATTCTGGGGCAATGCTGCTGATGTATAATCCCAAATGAAATTGAGTAATATGCAAGAGCAATTTCTCAGCATTGGTTGATGTTTAGTCCGATGCCGGCTACTTTGTGCGTGTAGCGGTCAGCGCTACGCCGCGCTACGAACCCGGCGACCCGAGTTCGATTCCCACTCACGGCCAATATGACCGGTGACAATTATCTGAACCGGTCCTGGGCCTCCCCCAGGGCGACTCAGCCTCAAACGAGTGCCCGGTGCGTGAAAAACATCGACACTGGGGGAGGCAAGGCAGGCCCGGGCGTGGTGCTGGCCACCCACCCCCTCGCGTGCCGTGTCGGCCTTCATAGGTGCTCCTACTCCCCTACGGTCTGTTAAGGCTAAACGGGGGGAATCTCTGTCTTGGTTTGTTTCCGTGTCTACATAGGTGCCCGGACCACCGGACGTCGTGAAAGTATCCGCGAGCAATTCCACGGCCGAGATTTCCACGCGTCGCGCAGACTCACACACTTACTCTCACTCATGCTCTCACACTCACTCACACTCTCTCTCACTCACGTTCTCACACTCACTCTCACTCACTCACGCTCTCACACTCACTCACACACTCACTCACTCTCACTCACGCTCTCACACTCACTCACACACTCACTCACTCTCACTCACGCTCTCACACTCACTCACACACTCACTCACTCTCACTCACGCTCTCACAGACTCACTCACTCACGCTCTCACAGACTTGCATACTCACTCACGCTCTCACACACTCACTCACGCTCTCACACACTCACTCACTCACGCTCTCACACACTCACTCACCCTCACTCACGCTCTCACTCACGCTCTCATACACTCACTCACACTCTCTCACTCACGCTCTCACAGACTCACTCACTCACACTCTCACTCACGCTCTCACACACTCACACACTCACGCTCTCACACACTCACACACTCACTCACACTCTCTCACTCACGCTCTCACACACACACTCACTCACTCACTCTCACTCACGCTCTCACACACTCACACACTCACGCTCTCACAGACTCACTCACTCACCCTCACTCACGCTCTCACACACTCACACACTCACTCACACTCACTCACGCTCTCACAGACTCACTCACTCAAGCTCTCTCACTCACGCTCTCACACACTCACACACTCACGCTCTCACAGACTCACTCACTCACCCTCACTCACGCTCTCACACACTCACACACTCACTCACACTCACTCACGCTCTCACAGACTCACTCACTCAAGCTCTCTCACTCACGCTCTCACACACTCACACACTCACGCTCTCACAGACTCACTCACTCACACTCACTCACGCTCTCACAGACTCACTCACCCTCACTCACCCTCACTCACGCTCTCACACACTCACACACTCACTCACACTCTCTCACTCACGCTCTCACACACACACTCACTCACACTCTCACAGACTCACTCACTCACCCTCACTCACGCTCTCACACACTCACACACTCACTCACACTCTCTCACTCACGCTCTCACACACACACTCACTCACACTCTCACAGACTCACTCACTCACCCTCACTCACGCTCTCACACACTCACACACTCACTCACACTCTCTCACTCACGCTCTCACACACTCACACACTCACGCTCTCACAGACTCACTCACTCACCCTCACTCACGCTCTCACACACTCACACACTCACTCACACTCACTCACGCCTCACAGACTCACTCACTCACACTCTCACTCACGCTCTCACACACTCACACACTCACGCTCTCACAGACTCACTCACCCTCACTCACCCTCACTCACGCTCTCACACACTCACACACTCACTCACACTCTCTCACTCACGCTCTCACACACTCACACACTCACGCTCTCACAGACTCACTCACTCACCCTCACTCACGCTCTCACACACTCACACACTCACTCACACTCTCTCACTCACGCTCTCACACACACACTCACTCACTCTCACTCACGCTCTCACACACTCACTCACTCTCTCACTCGCGTGTGCTTCCGTCGCGACGACGCAGGGGAGCGGTCGAGGTTGTTGCGACGATCTCCATCGCCCCCACCGGACCAGTCCTGGGCCTCAACATCCAACCTCGGACGACCGCAGCCTGGCTGCACGTGCCTCGCAAAGGCGCGCGACCCGCCAGCCGGCCGCACGGCCTTCTGGGGAGGGCGCCAGGCGACGAGCCGAGAACCTCGTTCGCTGGGCTCCCAGATCCGCGTCGCTGGGCGACACGAGGCAGCAATGACGGCGACCGCCGCCGATCGCGCGACGGCCGCGTCCGAGAGCGCCGTTAGCGCGCACGGAGAGGCCGCGGGATGAGGGTGGCAGAGAAGATCGCGAAGGAATGAGATGCGGGGAGTGAGATGAAGGAAGTGACCCGCTCGCTCGCTCGCCGGCTCACTCGCTCACCCAACTAATCGCCCGCCTACTCGCCTATCTGCTCACCCACCTACTCATCCATCTACTCGCCCACCTAGTCACCCATCCACCTACTCATTCTCCTACCCACTCACCCTTCTTCTCACCCACCTACTCACCCACCTAGTCACCCATCCACCTACTCATCCTTTTACCCACGCACCCCCCTACTCACCGACCTACTCACCCACCTACTCACCCACCTACTCACCCACCTAGTCACCCATCCACCTACTAATCCTCCTCCCCACCCACCCCCCTATTCACCCTTCTTCTCACCCACCTACTCATCCACCTACTCACCCACCTACTCACCCACCTACTCACCTATCTGCTCACCCACCTACTCATCCACCTACTCACCCACCTAGTCACCCACCTACTCACCCACCTAGTCACCCATCCACCTACTCATCCACCTACTCACCCACCTAGTCACCCATCCACCTACTAATCCTCCTTCCACCCACCCCCCTATTCACCCTTCTTCTCACCCACCTACTCATCCACCTACTCACCCACCTACTCACCCACCTACTCACCCACCTACTCACCCATCCACTCACCTAACTGCTCACCCACCTACTCATCCACCTACTCACCCACCTAGTCACCCATCCACCTACTCATCCTCCTACCCACCCACCCTTCTTCTCACCTACCCACCCCCCTACTCACCCTTCTCACCCACCTTCTCACCCACCTACTCACCTATCTGCTCACCCACCTACTCATCCATCTACTCGCCCACCTAGTCACCCATCCACCTACTCATCCTCCTCCCCACTCACCCTTCTTCTCACCCACCTACTCACCCATCTACTCACCCACCTAGTCACCCATTTAGTCACCCATCCACCTACTCATCCTCCTACCCACTCACCCTTCTTCTCACCCACCTACTCACCCACCTAGTCACCCATCCACCTACCCACCCACCCCCCTACTCACCCTTCTTCTCACCCACCTATTCAACCACCTACTCACCCACATACTCACCCACCTAGTCACCCATCCACCTACTCATCCTCCTACCCACCCACCCTTCTTCTCACCTACCCACCCACCCCCCTACTCACCCTTCTCACCCACCTTCTCACCTACCTACTCATCCACCTACTCACCCACCTACCCACCCACCCCCCTACTCACCCTTCTCATCCACCTACTCACCCACCTACTCACCCACCTAGTCACCCATCCACCTACTAATCCTCCCCACCCCCCTACTCACCCACCTATTCACCCACCTACTCACCCACCTACTCACCCACCTACTCACCGAAGGCGCACGGTAGAAGACGACCCCGGCGTGGCGGGAGACTCGACGCCGCCATGCACCGCTGCGACGAGTGCCCGTACAGCACGGACAAGCGCAGCCGCCTCACCGTCCACCGGCGCACGCACACCGGCGAAAAGCCCTACGGCTGCCCGGTGTGCGGCAAGGCCTTCGCCGACACGACGGCCCTCTGCCGGCACCGCAGCACGCACAGCGACGACAAGCCGCACGCGTGCGCCCTCTGCGGCAAGTCCTTCCGCCTGCCGGCTCACCTCGAAATCCACGGAAGGACTCACACGGGCGAGAAGCCCTACAGCTGCGACGCTTGCGGCAAGACGTTCTCTCGCTCGGGCGGCCTCCACCGCCACCGCCGGGTGCACACGGGCGAAAAGCCCTTCGCGTGCTCCGTGTGCGGCCGGGCCTTCAAGCACTCGGGCGACCTGCGGATACACGGGCGCACGCACACCGGCGAGAAGCCCTACCGCTGCGGCGTCTGCGGCAAGGGCTTCTCGCAGTTCGGCGGCCTCTACAGCCACCGGAGCACTCACACGGGCGACAGGCCGCACGTGTGCACCGTGTGCGGCGGCGCCTTCGCCCGGCCGGGAAACCTCGCGCGGCACCGTAGGACGCACGCCGGCGAGAGGCCGCACTCGTGCGCCGAGTGCGGCCGAGCCTTCGCCACGGCGGGGGAGCTGCACGTGCACGGGCGCACGCACACGGGCGAGAGGCCGTACGCGTGCGACGAGTGCGGACGTGCGTTCGCGCAGTGGGGGGCCCTGCAGAGCCACCGCAGTGTGCACACGGGGGCCCGGCCCCACGGCTGCCCGGCTTGCGGGAAGAGCTTCGCCAAGGCGGGCGACCTGCGGAGGCACCGGCGGACGCACACGGGCGAGAAGCCGTACCGGTGCGAGAAGTGCGGCAAGTCGTTCTCGCAATCGGGGACGCTGCACGTCCACCGCAGGACGCACGAGGGCGAGCGGCCCTACAAGTGCGCGCTGTGCGGGAAGCGCTTCACGCAGTCGGGGACGCTGCACAGCCACCGGAGGACTCACCGCGGGGAGGCGAGGCCCCGGCGCGGGAAGGGGCTGTCCGGCGTTCCGGGCCGCGCCCCCGGAGAGGAGGGTTCCGGCGGGCGCGCCGCGCCGGGGAGGGAGGCTGCGCCGTCGGGGGGGAGCGACGCCGGGTCGCCGCCACCGCCGGCGGCGGTGTCGCTCGTCGTCAAGGAGGAACGCGAAGATGAAGACGTCGCTGCTGAGGGAGACGCATGGCTGGGGGTGAATCCTGGGAGCGAGGAGGAGGAGGAAGAGGAGGAGGAGGAGGAAGAGGAGGAGGAAGAGGAGGAGGAGGAGGAAGAGGAGGAGGCGGAGGAAGAGGAGGGATATCCAACCTTCCTCTTGTCGGCCGTGAAGCAGGAGCGCGTGGACGGTAGTCCCCGCAGCGACGGGGAAGAGCTGCTGCTGGCCGTGAAGACGGAGCGTCGCGACGACGAGAAATTCGCCCTCGGCGCGGACCGCCGGGTGATCGGCCCTGGCGAGGAGGAGGTGTCCCTTCCCTCGACTGGCACCGAATTGGAGGGCGTGGGACGTGCACAGGAGTAGCGGGCGGCAGAGGTCGCAACCGGGTATCCGATACCCGTACCCTACCCGATACCCGGCTACCCGTACCCGGCCAGGTACGGGTAGCCGTTTGCGACTCTGGTGCGGCCGGGTACGGGTACGGGTAGGCTGTGAGTCACTGGTGAGTAACCGTTTGTCGCTCATTTCGGGTAGGGTACGGGTAGGGAACGGGTACAGGTACGGGTACCCATTTGCGACCCTGGTGCGGCCGGGTACGGGTACGGGGGGTAAGGAATCAAAACCCGTTTGCGACCTCTGGCGGGCGGCCGTTGCGTCGATCCGTCGGTTCAAAAGATCCGTTGGCGTGCTGCCAAAATGAAGTTTTCTTTTGTGCAACCCGGGGTGAGAGCTCAAGAGGCCAGGATAGAGGAGTCTCATTCGCAATAGTGGCTGGGATCACCACCGAAATGAAAAAGGGTACAGCACTGAAGCGAATAGAAATCAAATCAAAAGCAACTGCCGTGTTGCACGCGAAAATCGAGATCACCGCCCAAACGTAAATCGATGTTCGGTCATAAAATTCCTTGTAGCGGCAGTCGGCTGGGGCAGATCGTTTTCACCGATCGCAGCGCAATTACAAAATAAAGTTACAGAAACATTTAACACATGTTTTATTCTACTTAGGATGTATGTAGCACCCTTTCCAGGGCGTTGTGTGTGTGTGTGCGCGAGGTGACTTGGAATCGTGTGTAAACAGACGAGGATATCTTCTTCTTGGTTCTTTCGGTAAAGTCACGTAGAAGGGAAATAATAAAAGAATAAAAATTACATAATAAAATACAATTCTCACGACGTTTCGGCCACAACGCAAGCAGCCGTCCTCAGGTGAAGAAAAGGGCTGTCGGAAAGACAGCATCTGAATGACGACAGCCCTGTTCTTCCCGTGAGGACGGCTGCTTGCGTTGTGGCTGAAACGTCGTGAGAATTGTATTTAATGTTTTATTTTTATTATTTCCCCTCCACAAATGTAAAATTGCAAAATCGATTTGTGATTCTAATTTCTTTCTGAGCCGCTAGCATCACGATCTCTTACCACCTCCTCCATCCAGGGGTGCCCCTCCAAATATTCTAACCTTGTCCCTCCATCTCTCGTGTTCCTGTCCACCCCTCCTTCCTTCTATTGGCCTCTATTCCATCATCGATCCTGCCCATCTGGCTTCTTTTGACGGCCCGGCTAGATGTCCTACACAACTCTAACTTTTATACATTTGTAATTAAGCTCGTTGAGGCGACTTCTGGAATCCGGTCTTTTATTCAACTTTGCATTACAGCATTCCTTCACGTTGCTGACAGGCAGCGTGAGAGGGATAGATAGAGAGAGAGACACACTGCCACGTGGCAACCCGGAGCCTCGCTCCCGCGTGGCCCCCTTCCTCTGTTCGTTCCCGTTCTGACCACGTGTCGTACGTCTCCACCCCTATTTAATACCCGGGTCACGTGGTACGTTTCCACCAATCCTGGTTAGCCTCTATGGAATCTTCCAGAGGCTCCCGGGACCACGCCCCTGACTCGTCTCCCCATTGGCTGTGGCTAAAGCCAGCAGAACCAATCCTCTAGTTGCAGCTGTCACCTTTCCATTACGTCAGGGCCATGCCCCTAGGCTTCTCCCCATTGGCTATGGACCAGGACCGGCAGAGCCAATCGTCGTGACGAGTTGTAATCCGTCAACGACCCAGATATAACCTCACGTTACACATTCGTAATGGCACCGACGACTGCATTGCGGGAGCCTCTTTATTATGGACACAGCAGCAATAGCACTAGGCCCGGGCTTCGTTCTTTCCTTGAACATCCCCTTTTAACCTTCTCGACCCCCCCCCCCCTTTCTAGAACTTCCCCTCACCGTTTTGACCGCAGCCAATCCCCGTCCACCTCCTTCCAACGGTTCCCAACTGCCACCTCCGGGTTCAACTCTTGTTTCCCACTTTTTTCCCCGTTTGAATCTTGAAGCTTTCGTGACTGCAAGGATTCATATTCTTAGGTTTTTTTTACCTCTACATAACAATAGGCTCAGTCAACCATTCTACACAACAAAGACTCAGTTCCTGGCAGCGATTTAAGCCGCACCACCTCTACATAACAATAGGCTCAGTCAACCATTCTACACAACAAAGACTAATTTCCTGACAGCGATTTAAGCCGCACCACCTCTACATAATAATAGGCTCAGTCAACCATTCTACACAACAAAGACTCATTTCCTGGCAGCGATTTCAGCCGCACCACCTCTACATAGCAAAAAGGCGCAGTGCCTTTTACATGCACCTTTACATCATCCGCACCTAGTTTACACAACAAAGGCTCATTCCTAACAGCGTGCTTCAGCCGCACCGAACCTCACAAAAATAATATTCAGGGTCTACCTTGGCTCCTCCCACCCTCAACCAGTATATATAAAAATACTGTGTTCTTGGAATTTCTCTCACTTGATACAGCTATCGTGCTGTGACGGTTCCACCTGAAGACGGAAGCTTGTGTTGCCTCCGAAACGTCGTGATTTTTATTTAACTTTTATTAATTAAAATGTTTTACCTACGTGACTTTACCGAAAAAAAACCTAAGAATATCTTCCCTGCAATCTTTTCAAACGCTCGCCTCCCGACCAATCATCGCGGAGGTCTGTCTGCCAATAGGAGGCCTTGGCATGCTTTTTGAAAGACAGTCTGGCTTGCGCATTGGTTTGGAGCGAATGCTTCTTAATATCGGTCATCGCTCTCGCCGCATGCCTCCCTTGCGTTTGCTCTCTGGAAACATCCGAACTCGTTATCCCCGCTCGTTTCCTTGGTAAGGGGGGACCAAGTTTGTGAACCTCATGTGAACGATTTAAACGGCTGTAGATATTGTAGAAATAGGTTTATTACCCTTTCGCGTCATCTGGTCCAACACCAATGGAGATTAGGCTCTAAGGAAAGCTGTCTTGGGTGTGGACCAATCAACTTCAAGGGCAGTGCATATCATTATCAGAATTGTTTCTTTTTGTTTGCATTTTGACTGCTTGTGTTGTGGTTATTGCAAACATGATGCCTTGTATAAAGGTGTCAGTTTTTGTACCAGTTGAAAGGGTAATAAACCTATCACTATATTTTGCCACTGGTAAAGGAGATCTCATAGTGGCTGTAAATATTATTTCATTTGTAAATTGGGGAGGGGTGGGGGGGGTTACTTGTCGTGACGGACGCAATACGCGCGTTGTGCAAGCTGTGAACTCGTGCTAATTTCACTAGCTCCCCCGTGACACTTCGCTGAGTTTCAGTATGCGTCTCGGTCCCACCGTGAGGTTCCACTAGGCCTCGGCAAGGTAAGGTAAAAGTTAAACGGTAAAAAAAACAAGACAAACTTTACCCTACCTTTTACCCTTTAGCAGGTAAGATAAAAGATAAACGGTAAAAAGCAACGAGCCTACCTTTACCCTACCCTTTACCTTACCCCTTGGCATGTCTACACCTTTACCCTTCTACCCGGTAAAAAGGGTAAATTACCTTACCTTGCCGAGGCCTAGGTTCCACGACGTCACGCGACGTGGCTTTTCGGTGCGTTCAATGGACCAGAGCGCTCTGCCGTGGTGCTACGAGGCGAAGACGTTGGCTGTTATCGGAACAGCGGTGTGTTTAGGAGTGAGCGTTTTTTTTTTTTAAACGGCGGGGAAAATTGCGAGTTGTTGTGAGCGCTTTTACCGCGATCGAAGTTAAGTGGTTGTCGCCACGGCTGCTACTAGAGATTCGTTTTCGGCAGCGTCTCGCTCGGTCGCAGGCTTTCGCGAAAACAGTGTTAGAAATCTCTCGGTCTCGATCGCCAATGTACATCATTAGATAACGGACCTTTTCTTTCGAACTGTGTTTTGTGTTTAGTGTGTTGTCCTCTCCCCCCCCCCCCCCCCTTCATCTCGCAGCACCTCTGATTAGTACGGTTGGCTACATACGGTCCAAATGAAGTTCAATGTACATACTTACAAAGATATTTCTCACATCCATGTTGGGTCAGCCGGGGGGGGGTTTCCTTTGAAACAATTCAACAAGGGGGGGGGGGTACACAATAGCCAACAAAAGGGGTTGAGAGCCATCGTGTGAGAGGTTCGCTTTTAACTGTCGTTTGAAAAATAAACGGAGACGTTGCACAAGTGAGTGACTGTGTGAGTGCAGTTTGTATTCTCTCTGTTCTGCACGGGTTTCCTCGCGAGTCCTCGAGTTCCCTGCCGGGTTCGTTCTCTAGTTCCTGTCTAGTTCCTGAGTTGTAGTTCCCGAGTTCTCTAGTTCCCGAGTTCTAGTTCCCGAGTTCCAGTTCCCGAGTTCTAGTTCCCGAGTTCTAGTTCCCGAGTTCTAGTTCCCGAGTTCTAGTTCCCGAGTTCTAGTTCCCGAGTTCTAGTTCCCGAGTTTTAGTTCCCGAGTTCTAGTTCCCGAGTTCTAGTTCCCGAGTTCCAGTTCCCGAGTTCTAGTTCCCGAGTTCTAGTTCCCGAGTT